AGATGAAGACTAACCTGGTGATGGCTAAGGATCGCCTTGACTTCCTAGGTATAGAGCCTGCGAGCGACACACTCCTGCAGGAAACGTTGCATGTTCCTGGTAGGCCTCCCCTTAAGTGGTGTCTGTCTTATGTCACTCACTGTGGTCAGTGCTGGTAAGACGCATGAAGTACAATGTAACTATGTAATATTTAAAACTAAAACCCCACATCAAAGAAAGTTGAAACACTTCACAGGATTAAACTTATATGATTAATTTGCTTCTTTTGGGTTAAACATAGTATTAAGAATTGTGTGGTGTCAGGTCAAGTAATACTAAGCATTGTGTGCGTGTATGTATAGATTTCTTCGATATGAGAGTTGTTTAAGGCGTGACTTCAAAATTTTGCTGCATCACCAGGCCTGTCCTGGGCACCAGGTTGCCATATTACCTAAAATTTTCATGAAGGCTTATTTTTAAATTATATTGCTTATATGAAGAAGTTGGAAAATTGTTCTTTCTTGGTACCACTAGTTTTATTGTTTGTTTTTAGTATTATAAGACTTCATGTGAAATAAGTTTTAGTGCTTAGAGGTAAAATACATACTGCTTGCCTTCTCCTACTTGTACATCTGATGAGTTTATAATTAACGTCATAAATGATAGTTGTCCTCCTGAAGAATTTAGTGGCAGCATCAAAACATTTGAAGTGTGACAGTCACAGTGAAGCATCCAGCACTGATCACTCTGAGTGGAATTTGTCATATGAAGTGAATTGAAAAGATTTCAACTTGTACTCATTCCACTGTGCTGGAAACTGTAACTTTTTTACTCTCATTCAAGTCCAGACAACACTACTGAGCATAATTTTCCTATGAATGTTTATGTTTGTGTCATATCTTCACTTTCTGGTGGCCAGTTAGTTTTAACTCTATTGTTCTTTCAGTGTTTCATGTGGTTACATTGTTCACTGGCATATATCTATATGACATTAAGAAATATATTTTTGTTTCTAATTTGGACATATTTTTTTGGTTTTTTTACATATTCAGATTATATTTGGTTATGTTCATTTAATTCAATTTAATTTATATTTAGTTCTTGTATTTTTTTCTAGTACAAAACAAATACAAATGTAGTTCTGTGGCAAGTTTGACAGTGTATAACATGTGGTTGCTTTCTAACAAGGTAATTACATGGTCACTTTTATGTAAAGTTATTCTGAATTATCTTTAGAACATTAAATCACTCACTCACACTTTACGTACAGATATATATATATATATATCAATATCAAAAGTGCATATGAGATTAATGTTATTCCCTTTGCAGGCAGATGTCATGCTTAAAGAAAATCGCCTTTTTAATGCTACATGAGTGGATGCAAACACCCATTCTTATTTATTGTCTTATCCTTGCATTCAGGTTCATGCTTTTGTCAGTGGGCCCTCTGTATTCCATTTGTTTTTAATTACTAATGGGATATAAATGTGAATTTTGAGGTTCTCACAGTAGCAAATATGAAAATGGCTGTTTGCTGGGTTGTTGTGCCCTTTAGTGTGGTGGAAGTTTATAGATGTTTCAGAGGTGCATTTTGCCTCTGTCATACTACATGGTGCAACAACCCAGAAGACAGTCATCTTCAAGATGCGAATGCTTCCGTTACAATTGTCTCCTTTAAAAGCTATTCCTGGGCCCTGTTCAAGTTGTGTTGCTAGAGTGGGTCTTGTGTAAAAACTTCATTTTGAGTTCATACAGCATAGCATTTAATTTATTTACATTTATTGTGTTATGTTTGTTTTGTTTTCTGTTTCTTGTAGTCAGCCTTGTGCATCTGGGCCAGTTAGCAGTGTCGAGTGAGACGGGCTCAGCCCCTCGGGGGAAGACTCGGCAGTCCAGGGTAGCTCCCCAGCCCCTGACCATTCCTAAAACAGAACCTAAACAATACACACTAGTGAACAGTGGGGGGAGCCCCAGGCCAAAAAGGCAGGAGTTCAAATTTCCATCCCCCTCTCCTCCCATTCAGAAACCCACAGAAGGTATTTCATCATTTTCAGATATAATTATCATTATTAACAATTAGTTCTTATGCAGGGATTTCCATATTGCTGTGTCAATGGCTGCACATATACAATTTCAGGAGTTGGTTGTGATTATTTCATGTTTTATGCAGATTTTTTTAAGAAATCATCAGAAATGGACATTAAATTTTCATATTGCCTCCTATATCTAGCATGGACTAGAAAAAGGAGTTTCTTCAGATGCATCAACCATTGTCATATCCATTAGCTCTCAAAATTTAGTATTGTGTGGATTGATAAAACAGAAGCAGTTTTTTTTAAGGACAGTAACTTGTTTTTCTTATGCATTACAGATAATTAATACTAAATGTGTTTATTTATAGTATAAAGTGATTGCCTTTGTGTAATATTAAAATCAAGAATATGTCAAACATCTATATTGAACTTTTGAGTTTTTAAAATTTTGTGAAATTTTAAGATAATTTGTTGTATACATCCATCTTCCAAGTGTCTTTGGTTTGTAAGATTTTATGCGTCAATTTCTGTTTAAATGATAAGTGAACATTGCAGTTACTTTTGTTCAATAATTCAGTATTTATTCCTTCTTAGGGAACTTACATAATGGAGGTCTGGAGGTCATGATGGGCTGTGCATAGAGCACAAAGATTCACACATTTCAGTGGGGAATACTCATGAAAGGAATTAATTGTAAGAATAGGATATAGATGGGTGGAAATACAGAAACAGATCTTGGAGTAATGAAGATTAGTGTGGGCTAGCCAAGGGTGGGAGTATCCATTGGTGTGATTAATATTTGTGTTCCATTCAATCAGAAAATGTGTGTTTGTTCCTAAATTGATTTATTTGGGATTCAGAAAGCAGTTCATGTAGTTTGGGGGTGAACTGAGCAAAATGTGAGAATAGTGAATTTTAGGAAGCATTTACTCATGGAGGAAAAATAAATAAGAATTGCAGAGACCTGTTATAACACATCAGTTGCTCAGCTTTGTAGATGAACAAATTTTATAGTGCAGAGCATTGGCAGCCTTTTCAGCAGTCATGTGAGATCCCTGTAACAGCCTGTACCTAGCTTCAGTTTCTTTCAAATTGAATCATTTATCTTTGAAATACAATATGCTGGGATATTGAAATTTAACATGCACTAACATAGTATAAACTAGCACTAACAGTACAATTTAACACAAATTTATTATAAAAATTTTAAATCTACAATTAAGATTGCAATTTTTACCTGCTTTATGCTTTTTACTTTATGGCAGAAAGCTTTTATGAACATGTATCATTTAATTAATGGTGTTAGTCTTTCACATCCATTGACATTGTAGCAAATTAGATTTTGAGCTTTTAACAGTAGTGTTGATTCACTTCATTTTTGAATCTTTTGAGTTATAAAACCTGAGCCAAACACAGTTTGAAAACCATAACTAGTAACCCATTGCTTCATAAAAATTAAATCATTGTATTTGTTATTTATCAGTTTACTGTGAGCTGCTTGAAATGATTTTGTTTGTATTAAAAATTAACTGGCCAGAATATGAATATACATATTTTCTTACACTGCCAGAGGAGGAGATTCTGTTTCATATCAGTGGTTTAGATTTAGTCATCCCAATGTAAGTCTATATATTTTAATTTTTTATTTGATATTCTAATATTACCGCCACGGTGGTCTAGTGGTCAGAACACTAGCCTTGTAAGCCTGGGGTCCCAGGTTCAATTCCCGGTGGTGCTCAGATTTATAACTTGTGTTGGGCAAGGCCGTGGTCTAGGCATCACGGAGTTTTCCTCCGTGGGCTTCCCCGGTTTCTCTGTGGCATCCCAACAATTACTCCACTCACACACACAGAAGAAGGCAATGGCAAACTACTTCTGATCACCTGCCAAGAATGTATATACGTATGAGCAAGTCCCAATCCGAGAAAAGGATGGAAGGATCCTGTTCATCTTATATGGACCTGTCATCAGACAGAACACTAAATAAATAAATATTCTAATATTATGTGCTGAAATAATAAAAAAATAAAATCTGTAGCAATATGGATATAATCTTTGCACTTGGAGAAACAAAAGACATGTTTCTGCTGTGACAGGCTGATAATTTTAGGATCAGGTGTATGACCTTACAGAGGATTCATGATAGACAGTATATGAATATTGTGATGTGTGTGGGTTCAAAACATTTCACTTGGGTCAGAGGGTCAGAGTCTATAGTGTTGACTTAGGGTCAAGATGTGCACTAACCTCAACCTCACATGGTTCCCCCCCTCCCTATTTTCACAAATGAGGTTCTGGTGACTGAGTTATTGTGATTTAACATTTATATTTTGTGTGGAGGGAATGCCACTGAAAAGTTAGGTTAGGTTAGATTTAAGTACAAGTCTAGATTTTGGTTGCTGTTAGCTGTGTGTGTAAGTGCAGTTGACTGGAAAATCATTAACCATCCAACATGTAGCCTCCTTGTAGAAATTTTAATGCTGCATGTGGAGAAGTATGTTTTGTTAATGTTGCTTGCTGAAATTGTATTGGCCATGAACAACTTTGGTGATGCTAGATTGTAGACATACTTGGCATGAGATTAGAGGATGTTATATTTGCATTATGTCTTATTGTACAAGCACCTTGGGTATACTAAACAATATACATATATTTCAGAACAAAACCCAGCTAGCAAAGTTGACATCCGTTGTGTATAAATGACCATCCCTGCACTGTATGTAGACTTATAAAAATGTAAATATTTAGAGTAAGGATTTTTCTACAACAGGGGATGTTTTCCGATCTCCTGCTTAAAGTTTAAACATTGAAATATTTAAAATTATAATTTTATTTGCTGTTGTGTATGGGTGTAAAACTTGGTCTCTTGAGAATATGGAATTATGTTATTCAAGAACAAGATTCAAAGAATACTTGTGACTGAGAGAGATGAAGTAACAGGACGATGGAACAATGCGCACAGTGAGAAGCTTCATAATATGTGGGATATGAGGTTTTTATGGTAGTGAGTATGTAGGTGGATGTATTCTGGGTTGTAGCGCCATGTAGTCTGGTATAAATTTACGATCCTCCTTCCTGCCTCCATCATTAGTGTTAATGGAGGCAACAGTGACCTCTGAAACGGTGGTAAACTTCAACCAGACTACATGGTGCTACAACCCAAAAGACAGCCATCTTCATAATTTGTGCTCTTCACTGTGTATTATTAGGATTATCAAATGGAAGAGAATGAAATGTGGGGCATGGGTCATGTGGCATACATTGTACAGTTTAATAATGCATACAAAGCCTGAAGAGAGGAGATATGTTGGAGGTATAGACATAGGTGGGAGGATAATTTTAAGTGTATAATGAAGAAGTAGAGCATGAGTGTGTGGACTGATTGAGGGGCAGACACCATAATTTTATTATTTTTGCACACTGTTTAGAGTTTGATTGTCCATCTTGCAGCACTTGGGCGGAAGTTAAACATTCCAGGGAAGAGGGCAGCAGGCACAGCAATGAACAAAAGCCAAACCTTGCCACGCAGCATGGGCCGTTCCCACAGCAACATTATCTCCCCTCGACCCAACAAGCCAGCCTCCACACCTCCAACTATCAAAAGACAACTTTCTGTAAGAGTGAATTAAATTATTTGTTTGAAAAGAAATTGATATGTGGTGAAGATAATAAAGTATATCTTATGGTTCTGAATGTTTGTATAACTAGTATTGTTATGGTAGTATTTTCTTGGGTATTGTCCATTGTCTGCATAAAAAGAAGTATGTTGCTTACAGGCTGGCTGTCCCGTGACAACACATCATAGACTTAGACAGAAATGAGAGAATATTATTGAAATTTAACTTAGAAAATGGTGAGGATGTAGCTTGGCTAAAAATATTTTGTTGATGGGCTGTTGAAATGGTAATGAACCATTTGATTTTGTAACAGATTTATTGATCAACTGACTGATTCCCTCAGCCTGACTGTGCTTCTTGGAACATTTGTTTCTTTCTCTGATTTCTTTCTCATTCCTTGTTAAGTAAATTTTCAAATCCTACACAGCATGGAGATGTTTTACTGTTATCTGGTGGCTACATCAAACCTCATAATAGCAAGAAACCTTTGTACAGAGCCATCATTTAATGAATTTTAGGGAAATAAGTGAACTACATGCTAAGCCACCTTGTTGCAATGTTAGTAAATTTCTAACATGTTTACAGGGGCCCAGCAGTTCACCTGTGCGCAGGCCAAGCAACAACAGCACCAACTCTGTCACAAAGGGAACACCATCTCGTAAAACTCCATCCCCTGCTCTGAAAGGAGTGGACCCAAAACTTGCTCAAATCATCTTGGATGAGATTCTGGAAGGAGGTGCATCTGTGCAGTGGGAAGACATAGCGGGACAAGAGGTACAACTTATCAGGCTTACCAACACATTGTTCCTGTGTGTTATTCACAAAGACACCCAATTTCTGCTCCATATGAATTTGACTGCTTCTCTCTCTCTCTCTCTCTCTCTCTCTCTCCTTTTCTTCTTCTCCAGAACTATTCTCTCCAAAGAATTTAGTTTCTTTGGTTCTTTGCAATTATTTTATGTGGGATATCTTTCAAAAGTTATGGAATGCTCACTTTTAAATGCTAAATCACATTTTCAAAAATGGAAGTCCTGTGTCAGAGTTTATCACAAATTAAAACTTACTTTCTTTTTTGCTTGTCAACTGTGATTCTTTCCGAATTATCTGACACAATGCAATCATTGTTGCAAGTTATACAGTTTGTTAATTTTTCTCGTGAAAATAAACATTTTACTTTTAGAGCCAATAAGTCTTACTTTGTACTACATTTCAAACTGTAATTACATGTGGAAGGGCCTGTTATTTCATGGTGGACATACAGACAATATACAGGGGAAATATTACATTATTTTTTGATATAAATGATTAGATTCAGGGTATAAATATTTTTCATTGAACTGTCATTCCTTTGGAACTCCCTTATACTTTTTACTCCAAGAAATTCCAGTATTAATATCCAAGATTTCATACATTGAATGTGTTTATGGCTTATACACATGTTGTCTTACTGTGTAAGCTCACCCTTGTAGTGACTTCAGTGATTTATCTGCTTTTTGTCCCACTGGCAAATTCTGACTAGACTGGTGAAGGTTGAATGAGTGTGTAGCAGAAACCCATACTGTCTATCATGTGTATGCTGATCACATTTTAAATTCTTAAGAAGGTGTCCATAATTGTTGGTGTCTTAGTTGATTGCACTATAGGTAATCCCATTTTGAGGTGCGTAGAAATTGCTTTCATGAAGTGGCAAAGTAACAATCAGATATGGAACTGTGTCAAATCAGGAATTAAATAAAAAATAAATTGGTCATGAAAGACCATTTGCATTGTTACTAATGTTCTACTTGTAGGTGGCCAAGCAGGCATTACAAGAGATGGTGATCTTGCCATCATTACGCCCTGAATTGTTCACTGGTCTGCGCACTCCATCCCGAGGATTACTGCTGTTTGGACCACCTGGTAATGGCAAGACGTTGCTCGCACGTGCTGTTGCCACTGAATGCAATGCCACGTTTTTCAGCATCAGTGCTGCCAGTCTGACATCCAAGTATGTTGGTGAGGGTGAGAAGCTGGTCAGGGCCCTATTCTCTGTTGCCAGGGAGTTGCAGGTGAGAGTCATACATGACCTCCTGAGATATCACTTTATTCACCCCTCACATCAGTGTGAACATTTTTAATACATCTGCAAATATTTTTTACATGATTTGTGGTAGTTTAGCATAACTGCAAAAAGATTAAAGTAGTATCTTTATGCCTTGGAATCCATTTGGAACATTTGTTGTTCTTAGAGTTCAGCGAGTTCTGTAATATCTTAAACCATAACAAATATAATTGAAGTATATAACAGCTACAATTCAGTGTTAAGCGTACATAGTCTTTTGTATAAGGGAACTCAGTAAGTGATTCTATATTAATATTAATTATGTAATATGTCATTGAATTTTACCAAATCCTTCTTCACCTCCTGTGATAAGCAGCTCAGGCTACCAGGTCAGGTTATAAAATTATCCCAGGAAGCATAGTTTAGTTTGACAAAAGTAGCATATCATGTGTATCTTCACTTGAGTAGTTAAGCTCAGTTCTAACGTGATTTATACTTCTGACCATCTGTATCGAATAGGATTTTTATGATTTTCTGCAGTCATTCCATTAAATTTCAGGGCAGCACTCTGAGGCAAGCATACTCCTCATGATAACAAACATAATTATAGTCTTCAGTTTATATAGTTTCATCGAATGATCTACTAACTAACACAAGACCTGATGGTCTAAGGGTAAGACACTGCCATTTTCTTAGTTGAATTTGGATTTTTTTCTATGCTTTCCCATGCTTCATGCAGTCAAAACGTTGTCAGTATAAGGTATACCAGGTCCCAGTTGTCATTCATATTCTACATTAAGCTGTTAGTCTGCTGTGTTAGCTTTGCAGTTGTTTGGCAGAAAGCTATATCCCATTTAAAAGGTGGATTCCTGTCTTTACTCTTGCCAGGCAGTCTGATGCCAGGATGATCGACGATTACACCTGGAAGCATAAGCCACAACAGAACGACACAAACCAGTCAAACATTTGTTCTGTCTGAATATCAAGGGACTTCTTCCCAATTGTTTCTTGCTTGATTTTCATAGTTTCTGATGTATGTGAACTGAGGTCAGCAGGAGAAAGACATCAGCATCCCTGCTACTGTGTGACACCTTACAATGAAATTTGATGGATTTCATTACTGCTACCATTTCCAGTAATGTGAAGTTAACCAACTCCATGGAGCAGAGTCCTTCTTGAGAAACTGGACAAGAAATTCCCTACCTTTTATGGAACCAAAATGTTCCTTAGCATGTTCATAAGAGCCTGTCGGTCTACATTGTTCTGAGCCAGTTGAATCTAGTCCATGCCCTCACACCCTATTTCCTCGAAGTCCATCTCAGTATTATCCTCCCATATATTTCATGTAAGTTCACACTTGATAATTGTTGATTCTAGCCGTCCATTATCTTCATTGATGAAGTAGACTCACTGTTGTCTGAGAGGCGAGAGGGTGAGCATGATGCAAGTCGGCGCCTCAAAACGGAGTTTCTTGTAGAGTTTGATGGCCTCCCATCAAACCCTGAGGAGAGGGTTCTGGTCATGGCTGCAACAAATCGCCCTCAGGAACTAGATGAAGCAGCTCTCAGGTAAGTGAGCCAGAATAGTTCAGTTTGGACAACCAGCATTCAATTCCTGGCAGGGACAAGGATTTTTCACTTCGTCACTACATCCAGAATGACTCCGGGCCCACCCAGCTTCCTATCCAATTCTCTTTCTATGGGTTAAGTCTTCCAGAGCAGGATTCTGATTTATATTTTAATGTGAAATATCACTTTAATTGCAGGGAAAGTAGTGTTATGGATGTTTAGATTACTTGACAAAAATATATGGATTTTGGTCTGGAATATTTACTTTCTTTAAATAAAGTTAGAATCAAGTATCAGGTGTGCAGTGATGACAGTCTGACTTGAAGGTCCTTCAGTACTTCGGTAAAAGGTGACTGGTATTGGGATAAAAACTTTTCCTTATTCTGGTATGCAGAGCCTCATTACATGTACTGTTGTTCTTTCAAACCTTGTATAAAAAAAATCAAATTGTACTGGGATCGGGGGTTTTCTGTGATGATGGCATTTAGCATGAGACAGTACATAAACGTCACTGTGGTTCCACTGTCTCAGTTCTGCAGTATGACATTACCATTTTAAATGTTAGTAACATTGCTGGACATATAAAAGATTTTCTGAATTGTTGAACTAGGTTTAGAAATTTAGACAACAGTTTTTAACTTTTTGACCTTGTCTGAGTTTATTTTATTTTTTTATTTTATTTTTTTACATTTTATTATAATTGATACGAGGGTGAGTCAAATGAAAACCGTAATTTTTTTTTTAAATTTAATTTATTGAGTGAAAGCGGTACACAACTATATCATTTTTCTACATAGTCTACATTTCGTTCAATACAGGCCCTCCAGCGTTTACGAAGTGTATGGATTCCTCTAGAAAAAAATTCTTGTGGTTGTCTGCGCAACCACTCATGCACCGCCTGCTGTATCTCTTCGTCAGAACGGAACTTCTTTCCTCCCATCGCCTCTTTGAGTGGCCCAAACATGTGGTAATCACTTGGGGCTAGGTCTTGTGAGTATGGTGGATGTGGAAGACACTCAAAGTGCAAGTCTTGGATTGTTGCAACTGTTGCACGGGCAGTATGGGGCCGAGCATTGTCATGTCAAGGACACCTCTAGTCAAAAGTCCACGTCGCTTTGATCTGACTGCAGGTCGAAGATGATTCTGCAAGATTCTTCACTGATCAAAAAACGAATTACAGAACATTGTTCTTCTTTCGTGCACGTAACTAGTGGAGCAGCCATTTTCAAATTGGCACTGTGATGGCGATATGTTTGTCTGCATTATACTACCACCTATAGGATACTCTTTATAGCATTGGTAACATGTCTGCCAACTTATAGGACAATAGCGCGATATTTCGAATTTTTATCTCAGTTTTACGGTTTTCATTTGACTCACCCTCGTACATTTGTGGTATTCTGAAAGTAAATATTATGTTTCTGTTGTAACATTGATATGATAACATAGTTGTTTATCCTTGTAGTAAATAAAACTGAAATGTCAGTAACTTTTCAGACAGTGTAACTCTTCTGTTCCTATTTAAAATTCTCTTCCCTCCTCTCATATCTCCATAGGTATAATATATCAGTGCAATGTGTAATATATACCTTTCATGCTAACTGGCTTGTTACCAATATACTGTTGCAGACGATTTTCAAAGCGCATATATGTGACACTACCAGATCATGCAACACGAGTTCTGCTTTTGAGGCGGCTGTTGAGTCGACATAACAGTCCCTTGTCTCAGGAAGAGCTGGCAAAACTAGCCACTGTTACAGAAGGTTATTCTGGAAGTGATCTCACAGGACTTGCCAAGGATGCAGCTCTAGGACCAATAAGAGGTACTTACATCTCAGTAACTGCTCATATAATGCTCCTTTTATAGTAAAGGACATGGTCCCTTTCCATAAGCTCATAGAAAAGATGTGGAAAAAATGTAGGAAGAAACAAGTCCTGACAAATGTTCTGGTTCACATTTAATATCAGAATCCTGTGTAATGCAAGTCATGTGCATACATTTGTGTTAAACACCAATGAATATAAGAGTGTGTTGACAGCAACCTTCCAGAGTGATGCAATTCAAAAGAGATGTTTTGGTTTCCTTCCTACTACTGATGTAGAGGGGAGCTCCCAGTAGATGACTTCTGCTTTTCATCCTGTGCCAATATTATGAAAGGACTTTTGTGCAAGATCAAAGATGAGACTAATTACATGAAATATTTGATATGATATTATTCTTTCAGCAAACCTTGTTATGCTCTGTTTCCATACTGGATGGCATAACACTTTCTGATGCAAACTGCATATTGATATTAATATTAAAAATATCTGTTAATGTTCTTACCCTGGTATAAGAATTTATATGTTTAACCTCTTTAAATTGCTACTTGTTATTGGCAGAACTAAACCCAGAACAAGTTCGCTGCCTCGATCCAAGCAGTGTCCGCAACATTAAGTTCCAAGACTTTCAAGACTCACTCAAGAGAATCCGACGCAGTGTGTCTCCGCATAATTTAACCATATATGAAAAGTGGAACTTGGAATTTGGGGATGTCAGTATGTAGGAGCCAGGTGCAGTGGTATGGTACATCATCAGTGACAGTTTGCATGTCATTGTGGCACAAAAATAATAATATAGGAGGATCAGTGCTTTGTGCTGTGTTTGTTAAACAAAATAATCCAACAATTCAAAGCTCTTCTGTGATTGTCGGCTGGTGGAGGTGGCTGTGACGCAGTTGAAATATATAATCTTGAATCCGTACCATTGAATGGTGAGACCTGGTATTAGCAATTCATAGAACTCACAACGTAGGAATCTAGGAATCTTGGTTTCACTGTATTAGAATTCTTGTAGTTTTACTTGCAATACATTCAGATTGGTGTCAGACTGCTAATAGTGATATAGTCCGAGCTTTTCTTTTAAACGTATGTGAATTGTCAGTTTTGTTGTTATTGTATTGCAGTTAAATTTATAGAGATTTGCATATGATTAGTTTGCACTCAGTGCAGCTGGTTCTGCCACCCTATATGAGTGATGAGTCAGTGGATGAATAGCTCAAACAGCCATACATAGCACAATCTTAGATTGTAGGTATGCAACATGTTTAACTTGTACCATTGTTTTGCAATATATGCCAGAGTGTACATGTTGAACACCAACTTTAAGGCCTCATGAGACGAAGAAAAAGAGACATTGCTTTTCTGTTACTGTTCAGTGGAACTGAAGTGGTGAAATCCTCTTGTTTCTCTCGGTTCCATTGCCTTACAAACTTGTTTTGCTACTTTTATATGGAAACCATTTGTGTGCTTTATGTAATAAGTTATCTCCTTCCATTGTTGAAGTGTTACCATATTGAAGATTTTCATATGCTGTGTAAACTTAGGCTGGCTGCTGCTTGGGTAGCTGCTATGTGGGAAGAGAAGAGCACTTACGAGAACAAAGGTCTTCCCGTGTGAACAGATAATTTTATGGGCCCTTGTTCTGGTGGGTGTGTGTTCCTTTCACCTACATATGTTGGCAATCGTCAATCCATTGACTGTAAGTAGGTATGAACATGAATTATAAATATTTACATTATCCTGTCAATTAACTCTAATTCAAAGATATGCATATATATGAGTCTTGTAAGTTTTTAAGGTTGCACAGTGTGATTGTGTTGATGTAATGACAGTTTATTTTTAACTACAGTGCTATATATGGAAGGCATCTCAATTATTGTTATCTATGATGTTATTTTAATATTGTGTGACAGTCCATAGAAGCTTGTCAGGATCCTTTGAGACCTGTCAAAAGAAAGATGAAGTATTCTCCTATTATTGCTTTTCATCCTACCCTCCATATTCCCTTAATTAATAGTACTTTACATGTCAAAATTAATAGTAATTCAAAATATCATAAAATAATTATTTGTTAACAGAGCTTGTGCTGATTGCAGCAGTTTTGCTCACATTTAGATTATAAAGTAATGATATTCAATCAATGATCTCTTGCTGTTAACACTTCTCTAACATTTGTTCTGAATGCAGCTACTGAGAATCAAGCAGCAGCATGAGGTGGTTATTATGTTGGGAACATTTGTTTAATCTGTCAATATTAGTGCCGTAAAAATATCACTGTTTCTAAAAAGGATTTAAAGCCTCTAAATGTTAATTTTCAGAAGAGAAAAATAATATTGTTATCTTCATGAGAGGTTTAAGATGAAGTGCAGGCAGAAGATTTAGAGTGAAACTCTAAATCATTTCAGCATTCATATTACTAAAAAATCAGCTTCTGCTGTCCGGTCTGCATTTTACTTTAAATACCTCAATGTCATATCCTTGCTATTTTAAACTCTCCAGATCTCCTTCAGTCACTTCATACCAACTTTAAAATTCACTAATGAGGGCTGCAGACTAACATAACTGTTAATGTAGAGCTTTTATCTTTCTTGACAATCTCGGGTATTAAGAAAAAAGTTTCTTAGAATTTCAACATTATTTGTTATATTCTTGCTTTTTGTAATGTGAAGAATATATATACAGTAACGTGTTGTGATATTATGTTTCTCTCTCCACCTTTCTGCCATTGACCATTGTCCTGAGCAGTACATTTAGTAAAGGGGTAATGATTAGAGAAAAATAAAATAGATATTTCTACATGTCCCTTTGTCTTGCCTTAGCTGCTTTATGAATTTGTGTAACCACACCAATACTGTACCATGGAAGCTAGACATCATTATGGACATTGTGGATTAATCTTTAGTTAAGCTAAGCTGTCCCACTATATGCCATGTAGGCGCTTGGGGGGAGTGGAGGTATAGCTCCTACTCATTCTTGACCTCGGCACTAGATGGGGGTGAGTGGTCAGCATCACGCCCCGGCCGGCTTTACCCCCGTGAAAGGACCCCGGTACCCATTGGATGGGAGGCTGGGTGGGCCCCAGAGCCGGTCTGGACGCAGAGGCTAGAGGAAAAATCCTCTGCCCCCGTCGGGGATCGAACCCCGGTTGCCCAGTCCGTAGCCAGTCACTATACTGACTGAGCTACGCCGGCTCTTAATCTTTAGTTAGAATTCCTATTATGAAAATAAGAATGAAAGGAGCAGTAATCATATGAAAGGCCCACAGGGATGCTTCGGCAGTTGTCTAAACATTCTCACTGTGTTGTTTGTATGGACTTCTGTCTTTTTAAGTAAGCATCTTCCCCTTGTTATATGAGATATATTTACCTCTTAGTAAACTACAGTTCAGTTCGGCTTGCACAGTGGAGTCACAGACTGAATGAAATACACATAAACTCGTGAGTAATGTGTTTTCATATGGTATCTTGAAACAAAAAGGAAAAGGTAGATATTATTTCCACTTCCAACATTTGGGAATAAGTACCAGTACTTTTAACAGGTATGTATCTCACTGCATGGCTGGTTGAATTATCAGTTTTCTGTGGCATCCCCTGGGAATGCCTAACATAAACAAGGCATTATGGACCAATACTATTTCATTTATTGACTTCTCTGTACAGAAGACTGTGTCCATCTAACACTTAAAACATATAATTTATCTTCCATTAAATTGCAGCAAAGTGGTTAGCAATTTTTGCTTCATATTTGGGAGGTCCCAATTTCAAATGTTGATTCAAAGACTGGCTATCCTGACTTTTCTTGTGGTTTTCCTCAGTCTCTCCAGTTAAGTGCTTGGGATACTTAGATGACCCGTTCTTCAGTGCCTTGAGCATCTGCGGGTCCCTGTTTTGTAAATTTTAATTTTTATATGTACATTTTTTTTATTAGTGTTCTGTCTTACGACAGGTCCATATATTATGAACAGGATCCTTCCATCCTCTTCAGGCAGTCAGGGACCTGTTCATATATATATATATATATATATACATTCTTGGCAGATGATCCAGAAGTGGTTTGCCATTGTCTTCTTCTTTGTGAGTGGAGTAATTGTTGGGATGCCACTGAGAAACCGGGGAAGCCCCCGGAGGAAAACTCTGTGATGCCTTGCCCAACACAAGTTATAAATCTGAGCATCACTGGGAATTGAACCCGGGACCCCAAGATTACAAGGATAGCCATCACTGCCAATTGTAACATTTTATACTGCTAATTCTACAATAGGGCAGAGTGAACAGACCAGCTTGACATCTGTAGGAAGCAATTTTTTCCCTTCTTATTTCCAGAAAATGTGGGCATCATAGTTACTCCTTTATTCTTTTCTCATTGAATGCAAGTTATTGCTCCCAGTCTGTGTGAAGTGACGCAGATTTCCAGATTGATACTCAATCACCAAGCAAGCAAAATAGCTTGATAAGGTAAAGAGAAGAGATGTCATGATTAATCCAGTAATCTGGTTAATTTCATTTTGTAATAAACATAAGTGCGTCTTACGTTCAGCCTGGCATAGTAAAATGCAGTTTCTGATGTCTCCATACTCTTATTTGATACAATGCTAAACTTGTATTTTTAACTGATATATGCCCTGGCTAATTACTGAATATCCATATGTGTGATTTTCTAGCTGAACTTAAATTTCTTTGCCCAGTTAATGTATTCCCATAGCTTATAGCCTGTAAAATATGTTATGTTTTATTTCAAAATTGTAGAAATTCTACTGACTCTGAAAAGGTGGGATAGGTGCAGTTTTAGTTTACATTTTATTCATACATTTACAGTTCAGACTCAACTGTGTATGTTTCTGTAAACAGATAAAAATGTAGATCGACTGACAGTTCCAGTGGACAATTTAACCACAGAAAAAATGAACATAACACTACCTTATCTGCCTGCACTGACATACATCACAATTTTGGGGGGAGAAAATAAAGTATTGTCATTGCATTGGGAGCCAAAAATACAAAACCTGAATCACTTCTTAATTGTGTGCACATACCTGCTACTTCAAAAAATGTTTTAATGTGTCAATGTTGGTCTTTTGGGTTGTGATGCCATATGGACTTGTAGGTAGATGCTGGTGTTTCAAAGGCAGTCACGTTCCTTTCAAAACACTGGTACCTACCTATTAGTCCACACAACTCTGAAAGCTGACACTGATATCTTTACCACTGTAAGAACCACAAATCTAATGTTAGAATCCAGTGACATCTCTCATTGGTTCACTTTGTTTTATAATTGTAAAATTCAGAAAAAATGTAATTTTGAGTAAACAAGTTTTATCAGCCATTCTACAGACTCTTCTCTACTAATTCCTCTTACTCTTCCATTTATTCAGTTTATATTTACATGGAAAATGTTTGATTCTGTGTAATTTAGTAACACATCTCTTTCAGAGTCACATAGCACTTCCAACCATCAACAAATCTAGTTAGGAAAATGTAACTACTGCTGAAATTAGGGAAAAAGGTTACTGGGATGTAGTATCAGAGTTCATCAATATTAGCATAGCTTTAGTATATCAAGTATTTATAAACTCAATGGTGCCCTTAAAGATATATGAATTGTAGTGCACAGTAACTGAATCAATTTGAGACATTTAAGAATCTACACCATGTTTTTGTTAACTACAAAAAAAAATTCTAATTTTTAGGGCACAACTTTTGTGGGCCTTCATATCATTTAGACAAACTCACATCTGGAAAGACATTCACAATGTACAGGTTAATTTTTTAAGTTTTCAAAGGTTAGTAATGACTTGATGTCTATAATGTATATGTTCATGGGTAACCAAACAACACTTTAGGGGTAGAACTATATTGCTCACTGTGAATCAATATTCTGCATTCTATTCTAGAAACATGGACACAGGACTGACTCCAAAGTTAAGTATTAAATGAATGAATAACTAGGAACTACATGTTAACCTGAGCATTACTGCTAATTTAGGTTACCACTGCATTCTGCACTCTACTTCAGTATGTTCAGGTACTGGTCCCACACAGGATAATAGAACTTTAGAAATTCCCTACTCCCATCCTTTGTTTAAAATCTGGAGATGCGAACTTTCATGTTTCATTCTAAATGTACATTTTTCTCACAGTTACTCTTCAAGTTCTGCAAACAAGCATGCCTCTAAACCCACCAGCTGTCCTGAGGTTCTGCAACATTCTTCTCAGTTTATTCATAAAAATGTCATGACATTGTCTCTGAAATAGATCTAATTCCTACCTATTCACCAAACTCAGCTTGTCTCTACACAGTTGTGGGTGAAAACTTTATGTCACAACCCATTACAGTCACGTGGTACTAACCTCCAGAAACTTACAACAGAAGAAATATTTAGCAAATGAGGCATAACACAGCATACCTGTTGCAAGAAAAGCACCACCTGGGGAGGGGGTAGAGAAGCCTCCTTTCATAAAAACGAGCTTCTGAAAACAGGTATTGCTTGCTTTCTGCAAGATTTTTGACAACAAATATCACCCAAATTAGAAATTAAACATGGCATTAAAATTAATGAGCTCTGAACCATCGATAACAGACACAACACTCCCAGACCCAAATATTTTATTATAACAATCAAGAAGAATCAAATTCAGCACAGTTACCTTCAGAGATACATGCTTTGTGACAATTACTGATTGAAACTTAAATCTAATTTTTACTTTGTTAGTGAATGCCTTACTCATCTCAAAACAGAGATCACCAGCAGGAACAGTCTCTGTTTCAAAGCCTAAGGCTTAGCAATATGGGTCAAATTTCTTTTGTGAGCATCAAACCATCTGACAAAAATGGAAAAAATATCCACAATGCCTGTATTAAAGAGGTAAGCGCAATCAAATAATCATCACTTCATCACTGGATTCAGACAGCACATTTCTCCACACAACTGGAAAAACTTAATTTCTGTGTTTTGCCACAATATGAGAGATATGTCCTGCTGGTTATATAAACTGGCTCTCCCATTTCACTTTATTTTTCATAAGAAAGAGAATGCAGGACCATGGCTAAAGATCAGACATGCTAGCAAATCTACACAATCGTATCACTGATTACATTTCAAATATACTTCTGTACTTTAAATTCAAACTGAACACTACCTGCCTTGCTAGACTTATAACAAAACTGAGTGGTGTTTTATATGCATCGGAGTACAGATACTGATGTAATGATAAAATAATACACGACAGGTTTCCATATCAGTGTTTATATGTTACACAAATCATGATGACACAAGTGTCCGATAAAATGGTGGAGTAAAAAAATGGTTTTGTCATGTTACAGGAAGGTTTCCCTTATATTTATAAAGCCAAAACCATCTTTCTTCCATTCCCATTTTCTTGGGCAAGACTGGTCAAGATTGATGCAATGAAAAGTCTTTGCCTTGAGTTGAAATTTTTCTGTGCTTAACGGCTTACCAATTGTCCTTAGTGAATTTCTGCATCGCATATAATTTAACCGACTTCTCTCCATCTCTCTCACTGTGTGCATAGTCTAGATGGTCTATGCTCATCACTGTGTCTGAAACTGTTGCATTGTATAAGCCATCATGCCAGCACCCTGTTGCTGCATTGCGGCACCCTGTGCTGCTGCAGCCATCTGCTGTGCTGTGCCTGGAACTTGTGCTTGTGCTGGCATACCTTGCCAAGTTGGCACCTGCATCCCCATCCTGCTCATGTATCCCTGCTGGTAGCCAAACTGTCCATATGGGTAGCCTTGCATGCCTTGCAGGTACTGACCCTGCATCTGTGCAGCTGCTGCTGTTGCTGCAGTTGCTTGGTAACTCTGTGGATACCAGTATCCCATCTGCTGGCCATAAGCGTATGGGTACTGAGTTCCAGCTGGAGCTTGCCCTGTACTCTGAGCATGGTTAGGATCACCAGTCTCCTTTCCCCAAAAGCACTTCACTGGCTGTCCATTGATCTCCGTGTTATGAACTGCCTCAATAGCATGGGTGGCTGCTTCCTTTGTCGAGAATCTGATGAATGCATAGCCCTTGTCTTTGAAGACACGGATATCTTGGATAGTACCAAATGGAGAAAATGTTTTCTGCATCAACTCTTCAGTTATTCCGTTTATAAATCCACCACAATAAACAGTACAATTTGTAGGACTGGACTGATTATATACTTCATCAAATGTTGGAGCTTTTGTATTTCCATGGCGAGGTCGTTCACTTCTTGGCGGTGGTGGTTTCCTTGTAGACCAGTTTGTTCGAATGCTTCGACTACCTAGCCACTGACCATTCATTGCAGATATGGCACTCTCCGCCTCTGCCTTTTTGACAAAGGATACAAAGGCATAACCTTTTGATTTTAATGTTTGTGGATCTCTGACTATTCTGCAGTTGGAAATTTCCCCAAAAGGAGCAAAAGCTTCTCTAAGCGTCTGTGTCTCAATTTCTGGACTTAGATCGCCTACGAATATGTGATAGTGGTTACTTGTGTCTTGTTTTGGTTGGTTACCTGGTGAAGTGGCCCAATTTACCTTCATTTCTTTGTCAAGAAATAACCTCTTGTTCATCGCAGCCAAGGCAGTAGCGGCTCCTTGATGATTCGTGAACTCCAAGAAGGCGTACGGATCGTTTCCGGGCTCACGGATGATTTTGCAGCCTTTGACGGGTCCAATCTGCGAGAACAAGGCACACAGAAGATCTTCAGATACCGAAGCATCCAAATTCCCTACATACAAGGTTCTCGGATGGCTTTCTTCGCTCATCATCTGTCTTGACATAATATTTTCTTCCACTTTGTAAGTATTTTCTTATAAGTACTTCGTTGATTAGTAGCCCGCTGTATCCACATATGCTTCTAGAAATGCTTGACGCATTCCGCTGTTCTTTTGTCAAAACAAGGACGCCATTCAGAAATCCAGATCACAAACAATCATAGAGCAGAGAGTACAGAGAGCTTTCATGTCCTGCCTATCACTGACAATCGATACAATGCAATTTACTTGGTCGTTCAACAACTAGTAGTATACAAACTATTACTTTTTATATCCAATTGATTGTGATGTTTTAAAGTCAGCTTTTCTATTAAAATAAAAAGTTGACAGTGGAACCACGGTTCCCAAGAATCTGACGTAAATATGTCTCTGTAATGTAATGTAATGTAATAATTCTTATATAAGAAAAGTACCTGTGATATTCTAAAACGTTTTTAACAGCACAAAATTATCTAGTCTACGACGCACTTCTTCTACAAGCAATTCACAGCTCAGCTCTTTCCGCAATAACGAAAGTGGGTTGTTGACGGCAGTAATGTAACACAACAATGCCGAGTAAACAGATGACACAACAATTAGTTTCTTAGGTAACATAACCATGCACGCAGGAGTTTATATAAAAGCTGACCATTGTTGTAGGTCCATATTTACACATTGTCGATATGGATCTTACACAACTTCGTTACACTTTTTTGCCGAATGACCCTTCCGTATAGACGTATTTACGTCAATGAATCATGTTTTACTAATGAAACATTCTCGAATGATGATTGCAGTGTCTGTGCAATTCAGTTACGATACAATGTATTTGTTTCCATTAATGCTGAAAGGAATGGATCATTGATGAAACGTGGAAAGAATGTAACAATTTGTTTAATATTCACTTTGCGCAATTTGTCAGTATTAAAGTTGTCACAATTTCTAATTCCGATTATGAAAGCACGTAATGAATTATGGAATAACAGAAAACGTGCAAAAAAGATAACATTACGTATAATATTTAAATAAAAATGGTATTTCAAATAACATGTTAAGGCAGCATTGGAATTGATGGAGTTTTTAGCTTTTTAAAAGTGTTTTTAGAACTACATACGAACATCATAAGTATTTTAAGCGCTGTAATATTTTTTTGTGTATGAACATGTGAAACATGTCTTTCCACTTATTTAATAATAAACAGGTATGAGCTATTAGGTTTTTTTTAAATAAGGCGGAATTCTTCTTTCCCTGTTATTCTTCCACAGTGTTTCAATTAGTTGTTGTGCTGAAAACTTGCTTGAGAATATTCTTTAATCTGTATTTGTGACTTCAACCTCAGATTATAATAAATGAATTAATTGCACACAATGTGCATACTAATTTGCTTGTTTACTGTGGTCTGTAATAGATCGCGCCATTTTTTTACGAATCAAAATGTGGTATCGTTCTGTGGTATCTGGATTTCAGATGTGAAAATGTGATATTTTGTAATCCGTGTAGTGTTACACACGTTGCCCAACGAATTGTCAAAGAGTGAAGTGTTCGGCGTGGGAACGTGAAGTTACAGTCGGTTGTGTATTTTCTAGTTGTGGGTTATGTATGTTTGTATTTCTGTGCTGAATTTAAGTAAGATTTGACAACCGGTATGGAATCTGTACAGGAGAGACAAGAAAATGAAATCCAGGCACTTAAGGTTGGAGGTTAAAGAGTTCTTTTCGTCTGTTGCAACAAAAATAACAAATTCCTGCCATGTGTGCCCCTTACGAATAGGTTCAAGAAAGGTTATAATTGAAACACAGAATTATAGGCAAATTTCTCTATTGCCTGGGGTTTATAGACTAAAGTTTTTTTATAAGGGACTAATAAATATAATTAAAACACCCGTAACGTATTAGTTCATGAAATATAAGACACTTTTTAGTTACAATGTTTCAGAAATTTTTTGTGATGATAAAGCCCTTTTCAATTTTACTGATGAAATCTTAAGTGGTCTTATGATAAAATGCATGTTAGTGGTATATGTTGTGATATTTCTAAAGCATCTGATTATGTAAATAATTAATTATTCTTGTCAAAACTACATTTTTATGGAATTTGATTTATAGCTGGTCAGTGGTTTAAATTGTACTGCCATGGTAGAAGACAACAAATAGCAACAAAATCACAAGGTTAAAATAATAGCACTTCTTCAAATTGGGGCATTATAGAACTTGGAGTTTCTCAAGGTTTAAGTCAAGTCGTCTGTTTTTCATTATGTATAAATTATATACCACCAAACATTAATTCTTAGTGTTAACTCATATTTTTTGTGTATGATATTAATATTATTATTTCACTTCCGGAAACTGCTTCCAAATTTCATGAATATCTTTGCAAGTTTGAGCAAATGAATTAAAGCCAGTAACTTGCATTAAATTTTGGCAAAACAAATGTTATGAAATTTTGTACAACTAACAATAATTGTGTTAATCTAGGTGGTATAAAACAATGAAGAAGTAGAAACATTTCTTGGCCCACAAATTGACATTAACTTAAATTAAAAACATATATTCAATACATTATCCCTAAACTAAGCTCAGAATGTTATGCTATGAGGACTGTCACATCACACATGAAAACAGAAACTTCAAAATTAGTCTGTTTTGCTTACTTCCATTTGATCTTGTAATATGCAATTATTTTCACTTCCATGAGAACCTTGAATCTCATAAAGTAAAGTGCAGACTAATTTTATAGGCTATCTTCACTCATGAACTGCAAGATGTTTGCAAACAGGGTGTAGAAAATGTGTGGCATCCTCTTGAAATCATGATCACATTGACACCACAGCAAGGAAGCAGTGGCCAACAGGAAGTGCATGCTCATATTGACCTTCATGTGACATGTTCAGAGCGGTACCCAGACCAGTAAGTATCATTTTGTTTGTGGCAGTTGATTTTCTTCATGTATGGATTGAGGGGCAGTTTCATTACTGAAATTCAAATGGTTCACAGTATAACTAAAAAATGTTGCTAGATGACAGATTTTTCGTATAATTGTAATTCATCTGTTATGTGTGAATATAACAGTTTCCTATATTTACATAACATCTACCAGTTGGCCAATGCGTCTGAAATATATGTGTTGATATTTTGTTATAACTGTAGTTTGTCTGTTACCGTTGGACATTTACAGCTTTAGTTGATTTTGGAGTGTAAAAAATTCATGAAGATCCATCTCTGCATTTATTTTGAGACCTTTGTTATTCCATTGTTGTGATCTGTCTGGAATACAGTTAGGAATTAGTTTCATTTTATGTCAGTTGGCTTCAGTTTTTTATCCTTGATGATGGAGACAGTATGTTTCCAAAACATTGGAATCTACATGCAAGTCCACACAGTATTTTACCCAGAAGATCAATATCTCATTTATTTTGTATATAGATTATTTAATAGTCATATCAACTACAGAGGCTACTTGGTGTTGAATGAGGTGTGAGAAGAGTGATGAGTAGGGTATATTCATCAGCCTTGTATATAAAATATTTTAGTGGTCAGGTGCTTAGTTTTTATAGTGTTAGTGTGCTTCATTCTATTTGTTCCCAGGGTGCCAAAAATTGAACTTGAGAATAGCAAAGGACTGTCAGTTCAGCAAGTTGTTCAGTTACAGTCTGAGTTAGACAGTTTAGCTCAGGAACTTAAAGGTGAAGTGATGATATTTGAACTTGCTCAACATGTACAAGTGAGTAACATTTGCATATACATAACATCCACACAGACTTTGTAGACACTTTCTCATTTAATTTCTTTTACCTCACTTAGATGGCTTTGGAATGCTGTGATGTTTGCAGAGTATAAAGAAAGCACTATGCAATCATATTATTGAGATGGCTGTCTTGTGGGTTGTAGCACCATGTAGTCTAGTAGAAGTGTACTGATGTTTCAGAGGTGCTTGCTGTCTCCATTATCAGGGTGCCCTGATGAAGGAGGCAGCAAACACATGTGAAATGTTGGTAAACTTCTACCAGACTACACGGTGCTGTGCTACAACCCAGAAAGTAGTCATCTTCATATTTATCTAAAACCAGATGGAAATTAATTTTTGACCTGAAACAGAAGCACATGTGCAGAAAGTGATCTAAATTCATAGAATTGCTACTTTCTTAAATTGCAGTGACATATTGCTGAAATAAATGTAATTTTAAAAAGAATGTGATGAGGAGGTGTGCTACAGACTTAAAGAGAAATAGTTATAATTTTAGAGCATAACACATTTCGTATAATTAGGGATTTCATGATACCACAAGGTGTCATGGAACTCAGAAGACAACAGTCAAAACTTCTAACATCATGAGAAACTAATATCTCAGATGTGTCACAGTGCTTTTGTCAAGGACAGTTTTGGATTGAAAATGTTAATTTTAAGGAGTAAATTACTGAAGAAATATATAAATCTATAAAATGTGATCCTTTAGAACTTTACAGTGTGCCATGCCAATATCAGCTGCTTTAATGCTTTTGAATTTGTAGCTGAAGATCAAATGGCTTATTTTATCATAAAAGTTTCATCCTTTATCATACAGGTATAGGGGATTTAAACATCCAAATTAAGGGACTGCCAGCTGAGCTTTAACTACAGTGTTTGACAGTTAATAATATGCTACTGTGCTGCATGGCCATCTGGATAACGTAGGCCGTGACACAGTCAGTAGAGTATGATTTCATTTTGTGTTTTTGTTACTGACAATGCTTGTTGTAGAAATTTCTGCATATTCACAACAAACCAGGATTTAAATCTTTCTATGAGGAGATGTTATCACGGCAGGAACAGCAGCAGGAACAGCAGCAGCTAATTAAGAAGCAGAAGGAAGACAAACAGGTAATCTGCTATTATGGTACATTCTTCTGTGTCTTATTAGTTGATTATCCAAATATGTTGCAAATTATTTTGTTGGTGACAGAGGAAAGGGAAATACAGAAATATTGGTTAAGCAAAATGCAAGATATTTTGTTAATTATTGCTTTAGTAGGCATGCGGGCAGTCAGTCATAATGTCTGGGGGCTGGATGAAGGGTTTGATTCCTGGTGGGAATTTTTTTCTTTGCCGTTGTGTCCACTTCAGCTCTAAGGACCACTCAGTCTGTTATCCATTGTGGAGTTTATCATGTATCTCCATCTCATGTTTTACCTCTTTGTAACTTATCTGGATTCATGGCATAGTAATATGACTGTATGTTCTCATTTCACTTTACGTCATTGTTTTTCTTCTGCCTCTCTGACAGTTTCTGTTAATGTTGCAGCGACAGGCCATCCAGGATGAAATTCAGAGAAAGAAGGAGGCACTGCAGGAGGAGAAGCAACGCAGGAGAAGTCATTGCAGGTCTGTTGGGGATGATAAAGTTTCAGCTGTTAACAGTGACCATCTGGGTCACATTGAGAGGAGTCGGAGTTGCAGCTATGTACGCACCTGCTCAAATTCCAGGAGGAGGTGGGTTGTTCATATACAAATGATTCTTAGTCTGTAATCTTAGCTGGGTCCCATTGTACAAGACTGATTATAACAGGACTGTGAAATATGTTTTTTCTGTATTTATACTGTATTTCTAAAACTACAGACAGGTAAATTCCATCAGCCTTCCTTCTAGACCAAATGTTGTACTAGGCAGCACCATGCTGAAGTCTGCCAAGCAGCTGTTATGAAGGTCATAAAAGATCCTGTACAGCTCTTGTATGGGTGTGTATAGTTTGCCAATGGAAACTACAACTTTTCAATGGTTGATCATCAAGTGTTCAATAAAAGAGTCTGTACAGTTTTGAAACTAACCATTTGGAGCCAAAGCTCATCTAAATCATGTTTAAGAATTCAGCCCACACATCAAAGAAAACAGCACTTCTTTATTGTTTAGTGATGAAAAGTACCAACTGTACAGATATTATGTACTTAAAAGTAACTGGGACTCAGTCTGACCGAAGTTGAATGTAATAGACTGACTTCCCACTTCTGCTTGTTGCAGAAGTCAGAGCACGTCCGAGAGTAGTGAGGGTTCCCTGTGCAGTCACAAGGGTACGAAACTCTTACACTTCAGTCATAGGGGTGAGAGACAGATTTACCGTGGTACATGTTTAGGTAAGGCAGACTATAGTTAAGTTTTCACTTTATTTAAAATTAACTTACATTGAATATATTCTCATGAAAGTGATACCTATTATATATAGACTAATAGTATTATGGTATGTTTATTTTATTTTCTACAATGTGCTAGGTCACAGCCCTAGAGGCAGTGTAGTGTATGCTGGTGTGGACATTGCAACAGGTGAAATGGTTGCTGTTACTGAATGGACATTAAAATTGAAGCCAAAGATCAGCAAGAAAGTGACTTTCCATGATGCAGATTCTGAGTCCAATGATTTCACAAAGTATATGAAGCAGGTGATTATTCTGAAGTCTGTATTTCTATTGGGTTGTTACATGATATAACAGGCCAATGGAAATATATGTGTATGTGTCCATCTTCTGTCTGTTCTTAAATAGAAATTTTCCAGACACTTTGATAGTTATATGAATATTAAATATCTTTTTCAAAGTCTTTTCCAAAGCTTCAGTATCTGTTTTTGGTCACTTAAAAATAATGTTTCCATTCATCTGTAAGTTTACTATTCCCCAAGTCAGTCCTGAAAATCATTCACTTTTCAGCTGTATCTTATATACTGTGTAATAATTTCTTCCTGTATATAGTGAAATTTCAGGTTGGGTATTGCAATGTGTAGTCTGGTAGATATTGACTCCTTTAGAGGAATGTATTGCCACCATCATCAGGACTGAACTCTGAAACATTGATGTCTGCCTACAAATCCACAGAATGTTACAACTCAGGAGACCAACATTGACCCTTTTTTTCAGGAGGAATTGTTTTATTTTATCTTTTCTCGGTCTTCTCTGTCTATAATATTCATATTTTATTTCAAGTTTGTACTGTGTGGTTGATCTTCATTACAGGTTAATAGTATTGAGCAAGAATTGAATTATCTTCAGAAACTGAGTCATGAAAACTTGGTTCAGTATATTAGTATGAAATACGTGCAGGAAAAAGAAAGTGTAGTAATTTTTATAGTTCAGGTAAGCCTCTTAAATTTCGGTACATGTTTGTTTATTCTATTAATACTGCATACCTTGGAGAAGTGGTTTTGCTTGTAAATTGTGTTTTGATTTCAGGAATTTGTAAATGGTATAAATTTGGCCTTCTGTCTGATGGAAAACTTGTCTCTAGATGTAGATTTCTTGCGGCATTATTCTACTGGAATTTTGAGTGCATTGGCATGCTTGCACAGTAACAATGTTGTCCATAAAGACCTCCGAGATACCAGTGTGTTCATCAGTAAATCTGGTGAGTGTTTAAAAATCATAACCACTGTGTAATCTTCATATCAGAACTACCCCTTTATTTATTTATTTTTTGTAGGCGTGGTTAAAGTTGGAGATTACAGCCTGGACAAACGTCTGTCAGATATTTTCCAGGCCACTTTGAATGGGAAAGCAGAGAACATTTACCCCCCATCTCTTGGTCGAGGAGGCAAGAAAGCTGATATTTACCGCTTTGGTATTCTGATGTTGTCCCTTATCAGGGGCTGTGTCATCCATGACACTGTACCTGAAATGCCATCTAATCTTCAGCCTGACCTTAGGGATTTTCTGTCTAAGTGAGTGAAATAAAATGTTAAGTTTTTGTAAGTAAAAGCTAGAGTATGGAGCGATTATAAAAATATTTTAATTATGGATAATTGTTGAAGATATCTTCGTGGGGTTTGAAAATGGATGTTGTAATAGACATGATACTTGTGGAGTAAAGTGTCTGAAATAAAGATTTTATGTTCTGTGTGATTTTTGCATAATTAAATTATAGTACAGTAATTGATGAAATCTATTCAGGATGTTTCCCACGACAGGTAATTTAATTGCATGTTTTATTCATCTGACGTAGCACTTCAGTACTAAATAAAAAAATAACTCATTTTGGAAAACCAAAAGTCTGGCTGTCATGAATTTTTTGTTACAACATGGGGCCATCATAGGGTATGATCTGGGAGTTAAGAAAAATGTTTCTTGTATCCAAAAAGGATCTATAAAATTTTGTATCTTAAATATTAAATATTGATTTTTTGAAGTAAGACAAAATTTCTACCTCAGTTTTTGATTACAGATGATGAGAGCATGTATGTATGATATCAGTGCACAGCAGTTAGCATTGCATAATTAATATTTCGTTCCTGTTAAGATTTCCATAACAACAATCAGTAGTTCTTTATTTTGACAAGAGACATACTCTAGTCTTGTATCCTACCAGGTGCCTGTTGAAAGATGAGCGACAGAGGTGGAGTGCAGAACAGCTGTTAGAGCATCAGTTTGTTAAAAGTCCCATTGAACATGGGCTGAGTCCACAGCGAAGTACAGAAGAAAAGCAGGTGAAAGAATGTAGACAGCGTCCTCTTCTGCCTTGGCTTGTTTAATTGCAGTACTTCTGCTCTTACATGCCATCTAAACAAAGTATTATAACTGCTAAGAGTCCATGGTGTTTAGAAGAGGTGAATTTTTTAACAAAATGACCAAATGTCATGGCAGAGCAGTTTGCACTCCTACTTATTAGAAAGGTCCTGTGTTCAGATCTCAGCCCAGAGATCGGTTATCCTGATAAGTTTTTGATGTTTATTGTGTAAACAAAGTAAGTGATACTGTTCTTATTAAAACAGTAAAAGTAGTAGGTACACTGTCATTAAACAACATACGAATGGCAGTTGTTATTGATCAGCCAGTGCTTCAGTGTTTGAGATTACTTTTCAGCAATTTTTTCTTCTTGTGTTTTAGTATAAATATACAGAAGAGACCGAAGATGAGGAACCAGATTCTGATATTCACTTTTTCTTGCCAGCTAATCCAAAAGGACAATCCAGAATACAGAATGAATTTGAAAGTTTAAAGTGGTTAGGGAAAGGTGCCTTTGGAGATGTTTTGAAGGTGATTATTAGTGTTTTATATATTTCATTCAGTGACATCATATGCTGGATTGGCATTCTCAGACTCTTATTTTGTGAAGTATGGAACTATTGACTGTATTTGTGGCAATTAAAGTAAAATGTTAGTCAGTTAGTTTGGAGTTATAAAAATGTAAGATGATGTGACATGATCACAGAAATGAATGTGATGTTAGTGCAATTCAGAGATACAAGATTGTAAGTTAAGAAGTTTCAAAGAGAGTGGTTTATTCATTTTTCACAGATGCATTTTTTTCTTTAAGGTTCGTAATAAATTGGATGGTGGTGTATATGCTATTAAACGTATTGAGTTGAATCCAAAGAACAAGCAGCTCAACAAGAAGATAACTTGGGAAGTGAAGCTTCTGTCCCGTCTCAATCATGAAAATGTGGTGCGCTACTACAACTCATGGATAGAGAGTGCGACCATTGAGCCTGCTTCAGTACTGAGCAGTATTGCCCCCTCTCCTGCACCTGTTCACACAAATAAGTTGAATTCTAACCAGGTTAGCATGCCATGTAGATGTGTGCATAGTTTCACTATGTGTAGAAAATCTGATATCATAGAAAGATCAACTTCATTGATAGTTTGTTAAGAAATGAGTCTGAGCATTTAAAAGAAGATATGTTATACTATCTGTAGTTTTTGTATGATTGTGCGCCAAAGGAATTTTGTGCCAACTTTGTAACTGAAGTATTTTAAAAATTGGATTTTGTAATGAAGTTGATTATAGTACCATATGTTTATATGGAGCACTTCATATGGGATGAAGAAATGTTTATAAATTTGTATTTGAATTGGCATGCATTGTAGCAG